TCATCACAAGAAGTGTGTCCCCCGTATATTACCTCCAACATGCAACTTGCAGATCTTCTCACCAAGGCCGTTCCAAGGAAGAAGTTAGAGGCAGACCTATTCAAGTTGGGAATGACAAATATCTATTCCCAACTTGAGGGGGAGTGTAGAGAACACTGATGTGGGCTCCACGGCTATGGTCCCCACTGTGTTCGTATTACAACACATGTAACCTTTGATTAGTTTATCAGTGTTAGTTGGTAGTTATCTTAGACAACTTGTTATCTCAGTTATTTATTTGTTTTATTTGCCATGTAAGCATTAAGGGCAATTCTGTCCTTTCCTACATTTAGTGAACATAAACTATAAATATTGAGAGAGTGGCGGCGGCAGATTCATTCGATCTGTCCCTCCTTTCAATACCCTTGTGTACTTCTGCTTCTCCTTTCTTCTCCCTCTTTCTACTTTTCTCAATCCAAAATCTGTTGGAATTCAAGACTGACTGTAGTCTTGATCGACTACTAAAAGAAAAACTCAACTTAATTAATTAAGTATCCGACATGGTTGATAAGCAAGATCACACTTAGAATGCTCAGAACTTGGTTACTATGGACCAATTCAAGCTGGTCCTTGACAAGCTAGACAACTTAGCCCAAAGATTGGACGAGGTGGGGCATCCAACAGGAGGCTGCCTCGTCAGAAGCCAGGGGCAATACAGTGGGTGCTCCGCTCATACACCACTGGGCCAGCGCTTGATTGGCCAAGGAAAGGTTGACCCCTAAACGTCCAACAGCAGCAGTCGGCGGGCCAACAAGCCCCCGTCGAAGACCTCTTAGCTCCCTAGCCGGAGAGGTGATCCATTGGGGTCCCACGATAACCATCGGGACCACGACCGCCATCATCACGACACAAAGAGGAACCGGGACAATGGCAGGCGCTCTAGCCACTACAACCCTCCTCTGAGGACTGGAGGTCGACACTACGCCTCTTCCCCACCAGTGTCAGATCTTCGCGATCTTCTCAATGACCGTCGAGCTCGTAAGGCTCAGGATTTGCCGATATCCAAGCACTCAGGAAATGGGGCCGACCCGTTCCACGTAAGAGAGAACATGGATGAGACCCAGGCCCCCATCGATCGACGCCTTGGCAACGTATAGGCGCAGATAGGCGCCATCCAAGATCAAATCCAGTAGGTGAAGGAAGGCCGAGGTGATGCCTCCACTAGTCAGAATCCCTCGTCCACACGGATGGACGCTTTCACTGACTCTATCACCTCGGAGTTGCTCCCACCTCACTTCAAGGCTCCCACTCTCTGGAGACTTACAATGGGAGCACAGATCCAAATGACCACTTGGAGAGCTTCAAGGCACTTATGCTCCTCTATGGGTACTCCGACACCCTAATGTGCCGAGCCTTCCAAGCCACCTTCAAGGGAGGAAGTACGCAGATGATTCTCCACGCTCCCCCCTCGGTCCATCAACTCCCAAGACTAGTTTGCCAACCTCTTCCTCTTCCTCTCCCACTTCATCAGTAGCCAACGGTGTTAGAAAACTGTCGTATCCCTCATGTCAATCAAGCAAAAATGCGAAGAAAGCCTTCGGACATACATTGACCAATTCAAGTGGGAAGAGCTCAAAGTAAGAGACCTTGATCCCTCGGTGTCCATGCATGCAGCTACCAACGACCTTCGGCCTGAACCCCTAAAATGGTCCATCTCCAAGACCTCACCCAAGAACAAGGCAAAGTTCTTGAAGAAGGCATAGAAGTACATAGTTGCCAAAGGCAACAAGGGAATTCCGCTGTGTCCAAGGCCGACGTGTCCGACCTCTAAGCAGGAGAAGAGTACATGTCAAAGGCCCTAGGTGTTATCCCAGGGGTGGAGACTCCGACGGTCAAGTTAGCCAAGTGCCAAAGAGGGGCCGGACCAGGTTTGAGACAAGGGCTCAGAGCTTAGTCCTTAATAGCTAAAGAGAATTCTCTTGGGATTCTAAATGCAAGAGAGCAAGTGTCTTTACCTTGAGATGAGGACCCCCTTTTATAGCTAGGCTTTCCTTGGAGTGGTTGGAGGTAGTTGGAGACAAGGTTCAAAATATCGATACGGGCGAATCAATACTGTTTTTTTTTTTTTTTACTTTCTTTTATTTTTTTTCTAAAACCGGTTCAGGGGGCCAGTTTAGGGCTCCACCCCCTGAACCGGTTAGACCCCCAATACACCCACTATAGGGGTGTATCAGAGGGGTCCCAGAACGATACGTATCGGCCTTTGAACCTTGGTTGGAGATGTGCGGCCAGGATTCCATCTGGTTGATGCCACATGGCACGATCCGAGGCCTGCCAAGTACACTTACATCACTTCCTCCTACTCTCTTCGACCGAAGCCGAGGTCTCTGCCCAACACACCATCCGACCTCGACCACTACGGCCTCGAGAGTAGGGGGCAAGTGATGTAGGTGTACTTGGAAGGCCTCGGGTCGCACCACATGGCATCAACCAGATGGAATCCTGGTCACACATCTCCAATTGCCTCCAACCACTCCAAGGCAAGCCCAACTATAAAAGGGGGTCCTCATCTCAAGGTAAAGACACTTGCTCTCTTGCATTCAGAATCCCAAGAGAATTCTCTTTAGCCATTAAGGACCAAGCTCTGAGCCCTCGTCTCAAGCCTGGTCTGACCCCTCTTTGCCACTTAGCTAACTTGACCATCGGAGTCTCGGCCCCAGGGATAACACCCGGGGCCTCGGACGTGTACTCCTCTCCTGCTTATAGGTCAGACCCGTCGGCCTCAGACACCAGCAAAAGTCCCTTGTTGCCCTCGACCCCATCTTTGGCAACAACACATAGAATCAAGATTTGCTCCTGGCACCAACCTTACAACACATCTCACTGCACTGGGAACATCTCCCCATTAATAACAACATACAAATACGGCTAGGATGTAATGTGAGGCTGGGATGTTCCCGATGTGCAGTTGGGATGTACTGTTAGGTTGGTGTGAGGAGCAGATCCAGACCAATATAGATGCCCATCGCACCAGAAGCCTTTCCACCTTCCATGGACCTCCTCAATTGAAGTTGATTATCTTGAATGGTTTTGGAAGGTTGATTCAACCCATTGTCTCTCCTCCTTTCTCTTATTCTTCTTTGTTACTTAATTTTCTTTCTATTTCTCTAAAACCACTATCAAAGGCAGTTTTTTGCTTTTGCAAGTCTTGCCATTTATACAGCAAAACTGCCTTGAAGTTCATATCCATGTTACAGCATTGCCTAAGGCTCTTTAGCATCAAGGTCATGGTTTTGAAAACCAGACTGAACCGGGTGTTTGAACTGGGAACCGGTCAGGTCTCCGGGTCCGGTTTTGATTTAGACCGTTAATTCTCAAAAAAACATTGAAATGGTCAAAGAACCACTGATCTGGGCGGTCGAACTGCTAAACCGTTCAACCCAGGCAGCGGTTCATGGTTTTATTTAACTTTTTAAGGAAGTATAAACAGAGGAGATCTCAAATTTGAAATAGAGATATCAGTTCTGAGATCTCAGATCAGAGATCACTGAGATGAGAGAGAGAGAGAGAGATATCAGCGAGATCTGAGATCTGGTAGATTTGAGATGAGATCTGAGGTCAGATCTGCTGTGGCCAGCTCGCCGCTGCTGTCTGATACCATCACCGTGGGTGAACCACCACCACCACCACCACTTCCTCTTCCTCCTCCTCCGTCACCGCGGGTGAACCACCACCACCACCACTTCCTCCTCCTCCTCCTTTCTTTTCTTTCCTTTTCTTTCTTCCCTTTCCTTTCTCTTTTTTCTTTCCTTTCCCAACCGACAGCTACCTCCTCTCTATTTATATTTCTTCCTAATATGCTAATTCAATGGTCAAGGACTCAAGATGCAATAAAGTTGCCTTGACCATTTCAACCCATTTGATCCGAACAACCGAACTGCTGACCCAGAAACCGGTGGCCAAAGCGGTTCAATGTCCAGGTTGGTTCTTAAAACCTTGATCAAGATTGTTGTTTCATCAGGTTCAAGCATGAAACCTTCCTTGTTATTTTCATACTCACTGAAAGGTATTGCTAAGACCCCTTTTTGATTGCCAAACTGGACTAGAGTTCATGAAGATTCTCTTATTCTGAGTTCAACTTATCCTCCAAAGTTTATTAATTCAAAATAGCCATAATTTGAAAGCATTCAACATTTTGACTCTCTTTACAGTTACAAGGGATGATGATTTAGCCATTAATGTTTTAAGAAAACCAATTGAAAAGAAAAATATATACTACAGCAGGGGAAGTATAATTAAGTCCATAAGTAGATATCTTATATATTCTTATAACAAATGGAGAAGGGAAAGGGTGTACAGTCAGGCCCTCTGCATGGAGGAAATGGAATTGCACAGTAACTTGTCTTCATTTTTGCCAGTACCGAAAATTAAAAAAAAAAACAAATTCTAGAAATGTAAAAAAATTATACATGAAAACAATATACCTTTCTTGCTGAGGATCCTCCTAAAGTTTGTATCCCTTTATGGACAATAAATTCACTGTCAATAACTCCTACCTTCTTTGTTCGATCACCCTGTCAACAAATGGTGCATAGCGGTAAATATACAACATATTCTTAATCTGTGACAGGAAAAAAGAAAAGGAATCGGAAAAATAAAAATAAAAAACTAACACAGCACAAAAACAATTTCTGATAAGCATATTAAAACAAATTCCAAACTACTAGAACAAATTTAAAATGGAAAACCAAGACAAAAGGTGTATTAGTAGCATATCTGACTGATGCACGTTTTTGGGTACACAAATGCATGTATGTAAGAAATTGACTCCTGATTCAGAAATATTACAAATGTTTTTTCTATACTAAAATCCAACAAATAGTTCCTAAGGTAAAATTTCATACTGAACCATGTTCACATTCACGCATAAAAAATTAACATGAAAGAACCCAAGTTTTTAGTTCTCATCGTTAAAAGGATTTCAAAGAAGAACTTCAGAAAGTAGTTCTAGGAATAGTAAGGAATATAAGGACCATAATCAAAAAATTAGTGAATTACAATATACAAAACATAATATTGTAAAGTTTTTATTTAATTCAAAAGAACAGAAGATATAAGTAGTGGATACATTAGAGATTATGTCCACAAGATATATCTACACACCAGAAGACATACAAATATCATAACCACGATTTTATTGTGTCTATGCTTCTGCACATATAATGAAAATCTCACCTGTGCACAATAACCAAGTTTCATATCCATTCCCCATCCATGTACAAGATCATTCTGCATAGACCCAGAAACAGCATAAGCATAATAAGCATGTGATGGCAACTCCTTAATGAAGTCTATAGAAGTGACAAGTTGTTAGCATGGCATGCATTACGATGCATGAGTAAGAGAATATTGGCAACAAAGACATCCAAACAACAACAACCATGGTAATGATTGGATTCCAAATGTTAGGTCTCAAAATTTAATGTTTCACTTTCACCACACCCAAAATCGGACTTTGATAAGGAAAGTTGAATGGAGTATCCATTAACACTTTTTTTTTGAAACAGGTAAGCATTGCAATGTATTAAAATATGAGAGAAATCAAGAAACATCAGCCCATGTACAATGAGAGCCTGCACATTGGGAATACAAAAAGATTTAACGAAAGAAAGGTCCAGCTTGCAAAAAAGAGAAAAGCTGGGTACCCATGAACGCCCCTTTGTACACTTAACCAGGAACACAAAAAAGCATGCAACCTTGTTTTTAACTGAAATTACATCAGAATAATTGTTATCAAAGACTCAGCTGTTTCTTTACTTCCAGAGAGCCCATGGGATGGAAGATGGAAAAATTCTCCAAAGCAGTTTGCCCCTAGCATTCAAACCCCTGAGGGACCACCCTTCCAGAAGTTGAAGAACTGATTCAGGTAAGCAGGACTGAACACGAAGCATGACCAAGCCATGTCCCACAGTTGGGAAGAAAAACTGCAATGGATAAAAAGGTGATTGGAGGATTCAAAAGTCTCATTACACAAGGGGCACAAGAAGTTAGAAAGTAGCATTCCCCTTCTGAGCAGTTGATCAGTGGTAAGGCATTTACCAAGCACCAGTCCAAACCAGGAAGGCAACCTTGGATGGGGCATGGGAATTCCAGATCAAAGCCCAATGGAAATCAATGTCCTCGAAAGACACCAAGTTGTTGTAGAAGAGCTGAGAGGAAAACTTGCCTGAGGAGAACCAAGACCAGAACCTTTCATCTTCAGTTCGATAATTAGGCAGGATGTTTGAACAAGGTTAACAGCTCAGCCAGTGGGCTGATTTCCCAATCATTGAGATTTCTTCGAAAAGTGGGGCCCCAAACAACCTCCCCATTCACAGAGTCAAATCAGTCTTCAACCACAGCATCCTTACCAAGTGCAATGTCGAAAAGAGAGAGGAATCTCTCCTGTAGAGCCAGATTCCCACACCACTGATCATGCCAGAATTTGAGGCGATTACCTCTACCAACCTTGCACCTGATGCCCTTCAAGAAATCAAGGAGAATAGAGGCTATATTGCTCCACAGAGCACGCCCCTTCGGGGATAGACCGGGGCCTGAATCCCAACCAAGGTTTGTGAGCCCATATTTGTCTTCAATAATTCTTCTCCATAGGCTGTATCTCTCTTTGCTGAATCTCCAACACCATTTACCCAGAAGAGTCTTATTAACCAATTTAATATTTCTGATGCCAAGGCCTTCAGATTTTCTAGGCTGGCACACAATAAAAGACATGAAAGTCTGTCAAGTCCTTAATTTTGCTGGACTGGGAGCATGTTATTAAGATACTCCTAATCACAGCTTAAAGAAAAAAAAAGAAAAAGGGGCTTTCTTTCCAACCTAACTTTTAAGCCCAGTCAGTCCCATGGATGGGCTGAAATAATTTAGGAAAGAAAGGGGCCTAGTCCAATTTAGTAAACAGCAGGCCCTAAAAAAAGTTTTAATGGGCCTGCAGTAGAGCCCATTTAATGGGACAGCAGGCCCTAAAAAAAGTTTTATTTGTATTAATTAAAATTTTTGTGAGGTGTCCCACTTATTTATTAAGGGGATGCCATTTGTCTTATTTTAACAAGAGGGCTATTTTCCCTCCTTTAACCACTTGAAGTGGGGGGACACATGTCACCCTAGGGGAGAGAGTTATCCCCCAGTGGGAAGTTACTTAACCACCTCCCTCCTCTATATAAACTCCTCTCCTACAAGAGAAGGGGTTAATGCCACTTTTTTGGCTAATGCTATTCAGTTGATAGAATTTACAACAAGAGACAAACCAAAGGAGAAAGAAAAGAAGATTGTGGTGTGGAAGAAAAGGAAGAAGAGGAGAAAGAAGGTAGGGATTGCAGTATTCCTCCACCTCTTCATTATGATACTCCTACAACTCCCTCTATTAGGCCTATGTCTTTCTTTATACTCCTTTCACACCTTCTTTCCTTATTGTTTTCATTTTATTTTTTTCTTTCTCCTTGTTTCATTTTTTTGTGAGGGAGACAACAATCTACAGCCTTGTTCATGCAATTTGGCTTATTATGGTTCCTCGTAGCATATTAACATATGTGTGAGGAGGAAAACCATCTACAACCTTGTTCATGAAACTTGGCTGATTTTTTTTTTTATCAATAACAACAACTTTTATTAAGAAAAAAGATAATAGAAATATACAATAGGAAGGGAGGGGTAAAAACTCTTAACCCTCCCTAACCTTATAGATCAGATTACAACAATGCCCAAAAGAGATTTGCTCTTCCCACCCCTTGTTTGGCCAAAGTGTCTACCAGAGAATTAGAACTCCTCTTGGCCCACTGAACCTGAATTTGCATGTTTTGAGTTAGTTGGTTAATTTTCTTTTTTTCATTTGATAACTTCCAAAGACTAAAATCTTCCTTCTGTAGCCAGCTAACAGCCAGCCTAGTGTCGCCTTCCACCAACAGTTTACTGATTTTCAGCTGTTGGGCTCTTTTAATCCCTTGACTGATTATGGGTTCTTCACACCATAATAATGCACATAACCACAATTTAAAGGCCATTTGTAGCCTTATTGATGAAATATGACTATTTATGACACCTATTTATCTGTTATGTATAAAAAGTTTGTTTATTTATATTTGTTGGTTTTCTCTTAAACAAAGAGGGAATATATACTAGAATTTTCAAAGGAAAATTCTATAGAAATGATACTTAGCTTAGTATATTCATTTGTACTTTTGAATCAAAATCAAAAGGTTTTCTCTACCCCTAGCAAAGATGTAATTAAGGGAACATCTACGTGATTTCCTGAATGGGGCTTACCCAAATAACAAAAAACCTAGTTACTAGCAAGGGTGTCAATGGACCGGTCCATTTATAATGGATGGTCCAGACATTGAATTGGATTGGTCCAAATTGGTACAAAACATTCATTGGATTGGATTGGACCTGGTCCATTTATAATGGATGGTCCAGGCATTGAATTGGATTGGTCCAAATTGGTCCAAAACATTCATTGGATTGGATTGGACCTGGTCCATTTATAATGAACTCACATTGGACTGGATCATTTTGGACCAAATCCAGTCCAATTGACACCCTAGTTATTAGTCTAATTGGGTGAATTATGTTATGTGAGAAATTATACAAAAAAAATTCCCCTAACAAAGTCCAACTCCCTAGCTTCAGAGAAAATCAGAAGCACTTGACAAACAAGCAGAATGCAGATTAATGGCAGGGATAACAGGAGTTATTGGAATTGGAGAGTGGTTGATTGATTTTAATAGTTTGTAAAAATATCCTAGAGTTTCAGTTAATTCCTGTGAGGTTCTGCACCATAGCTTAGAACTCAAGATAACAAAATACAAATGTCTTTTGTATCAGCTAAAACTTGCATTTGTATAATTCATTAGGACTGGAAAAAGGAAGAAAAAGAATGAGTGGTTATTCCCTTTTACTTGTTCCATGTGAAGAAAACTCACAAAGAGCAAAATATCACATTCACAACAATGTTGTCCATCTGGAATAGACTTGAAATGAGTAATTTTCATGGAATGATACTTACAATGAATAAGCTAGTTCTATCTTATACAAGGCATTATGGGACAAAAAAGTAATTTACCTGGATAAGATGCCAAACACAACGCCAAGCAGATCTTGAAAATACTGGAGTCATCCCCTCAACCCATCTATAAATGAAGTATATAAATAATAATTGTTTACAGGCATATTATAATTAGAGAAAATAACTTGAGCACATTAATGGTAATAGATAACAATATCCATTTAACAAATAAAATAGAAACTCTCAACATTTCAATAGAAAAAACAAACCCAGTGCATGGTGGTTCTTGGCTAGCATCTGAACACTTCACACTTCCTCGTCTATCATATACTCTTCTGCATAAAGTAAATGACATTGTTTTGCATTTATGCAACAGATGTTTTAAGAGATGAAATATACATTAGTAATAGTGTAAAAGGTAAGTCATTCACCTATGCAAAATTTTGGATTTTTTGCGGATGGTGATCCTATGATAAATATCCGAAGACTTTGGGTCCAAAGCTGGCTGAGATATCTCCAATCCCTCTGATTTCACAATTTTCAAGTATCTGTAGACAGGAGGCCTCCAAAATGAACCAATAATATACTTCCACACTGAAGGAAGAGATGAAAATTACACCTACAGTAATTCAGATAATGCAAGAAAAGAAGAAAATAGAGAAAGAGAAAGAAGAAGAAAGAAGTTTCAGCAATAGGTTGTGGAAGAAGAAAAGAAGGGAAGGGAGAAAAGACGAATTTGAACCTCTCTCTAATCGTCTTTCATCACTTTTATTAATAATTCTTAGTTTGAGTACAATTACTTGGATGCCCTTAATGGGGCGGCCAGCACTAAAGAAATAATTAAAGAAAATAAAATAAGGCCCATAACTAAGGACCCTAACTAAGAAACATAACTTTTAAATACTACTTAAAAGAAATAAAGAACACTAAGGCCCATTCGACCCATTCTCACTAGACTCCCCCTCAAGCTGAGCATAGATGTCAATCATGCCCAGCATGCTTACATAATGTTGAAGCTTTGCCTTTGCGACTCCCTTAGTTAGAAAATCTACTAGCTGCTCTTCTGATGCAATGAAAGGTAGGCACACCTCTCCTGAAGCCACTCTCTCTCGTATAAAGTGTATGTCTACCTTAATGTGCTTAGTTCTATCATGCTGAACTGGGTTGTGAGCAATGTTAATAGCAGCTTGGTTCGAAAGAATGGTAGGATCCATCTAATGGACGCCATAAAGACTGCGGAATGGGTGGGCGAATTTCAAAAATTTTCCTACCTTCTCTCAACTGGGAATCGTATTCCCTAAATTTAGAATACAATATTCAGGGATCCTACTTGAACCATAATCGAACCAGATCTGAACCAAAAGGGAAGAGAGGAATTA